AAAAGTAATTTTATATATATTATGGATTATAGATAGTGTGTATATACAATTTAGAAATAAGTCAAGATATAATTAAATGGCCTTTTAAATATCATATAATATGACTGAACTGCAAATCTTGCTCGGTTTTTGCTGTTATTTTGCTATCAAGTCCTGTTGCGCAGATCTTGCTTCATTTTTGGCGTCAATTTGGCCTCAAATTATGTGCAAGCTTTGCTCGGTTTTTGCTAGCAATTTGCTGTTATGTTTTGTTAACAAGCTTGGATATATTTTTGCTAGCAATTTTGCAACATTGCCAGATAAAACAAACTCTGCATCATATTTGATGTCTTTCTGCTAACAAAATTTGTAACAAGCATTTGGCAAAATCTGTTGCGACAGATTTGGTTATCTGGGTATAAATTTTTACCTACGCGCCTACATTAGTTACTGCATAGCAGGCTGCCATTTACAGATGTTGCAAGGTAAGTACATGTCAAAGATTCTACGTTTAGTAAAAAAAAATCTGTACTTATTTTAAAATCATTATATTGTCACGTGTCATACTGGAATGAATAAAACAAAAATAAAAACTAATGGTTCTGTCGTTTTTTTATTTTCTAGATTACTCTGACCGCTCAATTATACAATCACAAATAAAAATATCGTAACATTTTTTATATAAAACTAAATAAAACATCGCATAGTTTACAAAAGCTGTAAAGTTATAATATAACTTTTGAAAAATAATCTTTTTACATCGATTAAAACTTTTGATATTCTTTTGAGTGCAAAACATCGGAAACGTATTCAAATGATAAAACAACATACACAAATAATAGAACACAACGAAGTTTCCGCGATCAATAAACTTTTGCTTTTTTATAAAAAAAAAGATCAATAAAGTTATACATATTTATTGTATATATATTATATATATAAACCGCAAACACACGTTTGTTCAACTGATACATAAAACATCAAGTCTTGGCGTAACAGACGATTTGGTGATGTACATACAACAGCTTGTCGCGGAACAATCGGCTGTATCAAAAATATAGAGAGCAAAAAGAATCTGGCAGCGTTGTATTCAAGTCGCTCACTTTTAATTAAAAGAGAAATCAATCAAATTTCTCGCGAAAGCCACACCTTAAAGGCGGAATATATCACTTTAAGTTTGTGCGCACGGAAATACTATAGGAACAATATTTTTTATTCACACGCAGATGCACATATGGTTGCTAAACATGTGTGTAAACAGAGTAAGTCTGATAAAAAGATCAGCAGATTTTTCTTAAAAATAATTAGAGATAGGGGACACCTTATCACAACTCTAGAATATTACAATAGATATTCTGTGGTAATTTTGAATTGATCTTGAATTTTTTTTCACATTATCAATTAAAAACCTTTTTTTTTAATAAAATGAGATACTTTTGATTTACTTTGTCAAAATTTGAAACAAATCTTTTCATTGTTACAATAAGTGCTCAAATTGTTCACCATGTTGATCCAGACATTTTTGTAGTCTTTGGAAAAAGCTCGCTTGGACTTCTAATTCTTAACGAGTATTTCTCAAAAACTATTTTTTATTCTTTATATCACGTTTTCTCAAGTGATAGAATAGTAAATAGTTTTTGCAAAATAATCATTCAAGATTTAGAAGTTTAAGCAAACTTTTTACAAAGACTACAGGCTTGTCTGGATCAACATGATAAACATTTTGAACACTTGATAATAAAAAGTTCATTTAACATTTAATTAAAAAGTTCATTTCAACATTTTTAAATTGGTACGTAACAATATAATACTTTGTCACTTTATTTTACTATTGTTTGTTAATAACGACACCTTGCAATACAGTGTACAACTGAAGAAGACTTCAATAAAAAGTCGAAACGTTTTGCCAAAAAATTTTTTCACATTACTGCCAAACATCCTACACTTGGTTCGACATAGCCGTTAATTGTTACCTTAAATTTAGATAATAAAAAGATTTGTTTCAAATGTTTTAGTTTAAATAATTTTGTTTATATCGACAACGGTTGAGATTTTAAAAAATACTTCAATATAAAAGTTATTAAGTTCATTGAGTACTATTGACAAAATAACTCAGCAGTTCCCCATTCTATATAAAAAAAAAGTTTTTGATTGATAATGTGATACAAAAATTCAAGGTCACCATAATATGTCTTCTTTAATGCCCTGCAAAATTTCGATAATAGATGTCTTCTCCTATCTCTAACCGTCTCCTATCTCTAATAATATATATATATATATATATATCTAATATATATATATTATATATATATATTATATATATATATATTATTAGAGATAGGAGACGGTTAGAGATAGGAGAAGACATCTATTATCGAAATTGCAGGACATTAAAGAAGACAAATTATGGTGACCTTGAATTTTTGTATTACATTATCTAATATATATATATATTATTAGAGATAGGAGACGGTTAGAGATAGGAGAAGACATCTATTATCGAAATTGCAGGACATTAAAGAAGACATATTATGGTGACCTTGAATTTTTGTATTACATTATCAATCAAAAACTTTTTTTTATATAGAATGGGGAACTGTTGAGTTATTTTGTCGATAGTACTCAATGAACTTAATAACTTTTATATTGAAGTATTTTATATATATATACAGGGTGTCCGACAATTACTTTAACATCTCTCGTAGGCAGGTAGAAGGAGTAAAACTGAGTCGAAAAGTCCTGAACCATTTTTTTCTATTACATATAATAAAGGAGTAATTATCGAATAAATTAAGCCAATTAGCGCCGACCTTTAGCCGGGCTCACGTCAGTGAGCCGCGCGGAGCGCTCACGCACACCAGACGTGTGGTTCACTGACGTGCGTTCGGCTAAAGATCGGCGCTGATTGGCTTAATTTACTCAATAATTACTCCTTTATTATAAATAATAGAAAACAATGGTTCAGGACTTTTTGACTTAGTTTTACTCCTTCTATCTGCCTACGAGAGATGTTAAAGTAATTGTCGGACATCCTGTATATATATATGTATATACATATACTTTTTTGCGTGTGCGTGTGTGTTTGTGTATGTGTGTAAATTGTTCGAAGAAACTGCAACGTTCTGTAAGATTTACACACACGCAAACAAGCGCGCACGTACACAGTGTATAAAAAATACCGGGACGGCGAAATATCTTGAAAACTAAGCATTTTAGAAAAAAGTGTTTCAGACAAAAGTTGGAAAATTTTAAAAAATTTTTTGACTAATCTTATCAGTTTGACCTTGGATAGCGTCGCTAAGGTCAGCTTAAGATCATATCGATGTTTTTAAATGAAACTTCCTATTGTTTGTTGCATATTCTTGTAACTTAATTTAAAAGTTTCCAAAACATTATAATGAAATACATTTTCGTTAAGTACGCGTGTCCTTATCTCTACTGATGCATGCACGTACGCACGCACACATCGTGCAGGATGTTGCTGTTTCTTCGTACAATTTTTTTTCTAGACACTTTTTACAAATAACATACTTTCCGTAGTATTTTATAAGTAAAGAATGTAAAAAAAGGTAAAATCATCTTGTAATGTACGAATTATGTAACACGGCGCGTGAATAAATAGTATTATACTTTGGTGTTGTATTTTCTTCATAATTTTTCTTCTAAGCGCGGGATGATCTCTATTTTCATCGTTACCCGCTCTGAGAAAGTGTAATATTAATATTAGCGCAATAATAAGAGGAATATTACAGGCCTATAACTTATGTGATTACAGAAAAAAATTGTTATATCACGATAAAACTACGAGAAAAAAAGTATTGTCTCTGTTAAAGAATACGCAAGCGTATCTCTATATGTACGACAAAACGATACAACATAAAAAAATATATAAGTTATAAAGACAAAAAGTGCCAGGAGAATGTACACTTTCGAGAGTCAGTCTCCTATCTGATTCTCAATTTGTTGATCTCAACTTGTAACAAGTAGTGCTTTTCTCAATTAGTGAAGTATAAGATATATATTTTTCGAAAGATTTGCGTAAAAAAACACTTTGGCCCGAGAAATGTTTGTTGTATAAGGCCGTTTGTTTCATGAAACGCGAGGAAGAAAACAATTTTTCTTTCCTATCCTACATGAGAAGAGTTACTTTGGTAATGACTAGGTCATATACACTACATCACTAAATTAGCTATAAATCATCATTTTTTAACTATAAATCATATTTTTTGTGTCTGTTATGGCCTGCAATTCTACTTTGCTAACCAGTAATCGTAATGACGCGACGCAACTAAGCGTTTCATTATTATTATGTTCATTTTCTATCTTACCTTCGATCTTTGTTCATAAGTACTGTTCAGTCGAGAAGTTTTCACTGTCAGGCAAAGCTTGGTTTCAAGACGTACATTCATATCAATTTTATGATCAAGTCAAAACGGGAATCAAATTACTATTACTAAGAACCAATCACCTATTTAAGACAAATGAATACTCTAAATATCAAAAGATCTTGTTTTCTTTGTTTTATGCTCAAAACTGAATGCGATAATTTCCGGGACGCGGTATAGATCTCGCTTTGGCTGGCAATGAGGCCGTCGACGCCTCGCTGCTGGCGCCAGAATCGCGGCCGCCACTTTTAATGCTCACTGTGCTGCCAGTGCTTTGCCCTCGAGACGAACCGCTTGTTCCTATTCTCAACGTATTACCGCCTCCTTTGACAACAGTTGCGGAAGAGGATTCGCCATCACTCAAACGACCATACTCGCCGATTCGAGTACGCGATGATGGCGGTGGTATAAACGAACGGCTCTGGATATCTCTGTGCTTTACTGCAGATTCTGACGTGCAATTGCTGTCGCTAGTCGATGATTTCTTGCGAATGTTACTTGTGTCTACCTGCAATCTCTCGTATTCGTGACCGTCGCCACTCACCATCCCGGAGCCAGCTGATTTCTTCACGGAACTATTTGTTACAAAATTATCCACGGACGTCTTTTTCTTATTGCGTGATATTTTTGTAGTAGCATCAAATCGACCATACTCGATACTGCTACCGTTGCCAGAATCTCGCGTCTTCGTGCCGCCTCCGTTGTTGTTTGCGCCACTTGTCGCAGTAGACGTGTCTATGATACTTTGCCCATGATCCGATTTCTTGCGCGTCTCTGTGTCGCTCAGTCGGCAGTAACGAGAATTGCTACTGGTCTTGAGTGTTCTCGGCGGTCGCGGTAATGAACTGGGTGGCAAGCTACCGGCGCGACGCGGCTCGCCACTTCCGTCCATCATTCGTTGTCTCTGCGAACTTCTACCCTGCTTCTCAAGCAGCATCATGTCTTCAGTTGGCTTGCTCCCGTTGTCCGATAATCGCGAGATAGTGCCCTTCAATCTGGCAGCCGCGCTCGCGAACTCGATTATACTCGGCGACATTACGTCACCGCCGCTGCCGGACGAATCATCCAGCAGCCGTGTCTTACTCGAGGCGGTGCTCGAGGTACCTGTGCTATCTACACCCGCCAGTAATGGCTTGGGTATTTTTCCTTTTCGCGACGCAGTGCCTGGATTAGAGAATCCTGGAAAACAGCAAAGTGCCCGCTGAAACAAGAAACAGAGAACGCGAGGGTTGCAGAGAGGAGGCTAGGAACCTGGAAAAGGGTTAGTGCTCGCAGTATTAAACGCTCGCACATGCACATTCGAGGATAGTCTTAGGACAGTAGGAAAGTAAGACAGGATCGAGAAGGGATTAGTGGGACAACTTTAAAGAAAAACCAACTAAACTAGAAAATAATAAAATTAATTTGCAAAAAAAATCTATTTTGCTATGCTAATACAATTTTAAAAAAGTTAACTTTTTTTGTATTTTGTAGGATTATATAAATTAAGAGGATGTTCTCGGTATAGCTTAAAATTATATAGTATATAATTATTACACACACACATATACATATACAAACATGTAAAAGTAACAAAAGTTATTGTAATGATCTTGATAAATTTAAAAAATCATATTAAGCTGGGTTAAATCACATTATTAAGCAATTTATATGAAACCAAATAATAGCAAACAAGACACAATAGTCAATTTGTAATGTTTGGCCATATTAAAACGATTAAAATTATTCAAAATTTTAATTCCTTTCGTTTTTTCACACAAACTAATTATAAACTATTCTCACAAAAAAACAGGCTTTAAAGAGAAAAAAATAGAAGAAAGAATAACAAAAAAGAGAAAACACAAACACAAGAATACCTTTGAATGTGTGATCTGTAATGATCATTTTCACGTGATCAGCGATGACTATTAAAAAGTTGCTAAAGAACTTAAAATTATTCGAAAATTAACATGTGTTTATTAATACACAAGATAAGTATTACCGTAAACAAAATATAAACATTAAGGAAAATCCGAGTGCGCAAATTTCCGTAAATAATAACAGAACGTAATAATAAGAAGCAGTATAAAATGAAATCTTATGATTTAATTTGAAAGTTAACCTGATCATCCGTGGAACGATCATGATGGAATGATCACATTGTCATTTTGTTTACCTTGCTCAATAGTTGAGAGTCTAATTCCTTTAGCTGATCATCGAGACTTTTATTGGTTTGCTCAAAACTGCCTTGTTTTCTATATTTGTAACTGTCCGTGACACCATAAGAACCAGTACTACCGTAACCACTACCGCTGCTGAGTACGCTGTTTACTGTGTAGAAAAAAGAAATCAAAATTTTCGTGCTGATAAAAAACAAAACATTAACGCGAGTAAATTCAAGAAAGTATGGTCGTTTACCAAGTTCTGGCGTGGTTGTGAGAGCGGTATGATGATCTGCCGATGTGCTTGAATGAGATGAGTGTGCGGCTTGATAACTGCCAACGCCGCTACTGCTGCTGCTGTCCACTTTGTCAAATGTGTGTTTCTGCAACACTCTGATCATGGCGTCTCTTTCCGCCAGTTTAGATTCCAAATCCTTTATTCTGTCGGATAGGGAACAGTGACAGATCGATTTGAATAGTTCGCAGATAAGTGTTACAACTTAATTCTTCTTACCTAGACTCGAGATCGGCGAGTTTCTTCTGCGCGGCGAAAACTTCGTCCAAGTGTCTCATCTTCTCTGACCGAGCTTCGGCGATTAACTTTTCCGCATCTTGGCTGGTCTTTTCCAAAGCGGCGATTTTCGCGTCTCTGAAAAGTAACGCAACAAAAAAGATGTAAAAAAATAAAATAAAATAAAATAAATTCGTTACCTAGAATATAACGATTTTTTACGTACTTTGGCAAGCTGGCTGCATCAATAGCTGCTTGTCTTAACGTACTTTCCTCGAGATAACGTTGTTCCCACTTTGACACATCACTTTCAAGAGACATGATCTTCTCATCCCGCTCGCGTAGTCGTCGCTTTAAATCCGTGATAGTTTCACCGTTAGATGTCTGCTCGTTGTTGTTGCCCTCGCGTAACTCTTTTTCCAACTGACCTCTTAGTTGTCTTTCAGTCTCTTCCCGTCTATCGCTAGACGCCTGAAGAGAAGACAAAGCCCGCTGTAGCTGACCCACTCTTTCAACGTATACTTGCTTCTTTCGACACTATAACAAGCAGGTTTTTTAGATAATTAACAATATATCAACATTATTTTTCACTTTTTTCTCCATTTTCCAATGTTTATACATACATACATACGCGCGCGCGCGTATGTGTGTGTGTATGTATGTATGTATGTATGTATGTATGTATGTGTTATATATATATTATACAATTACATATTACATAATTATATATATATGTAATATATGTATGTACATATATATATGTGTAATATATATACAGTAGAACCTCCCAAAACGTATACAGTCGGGACCGACGAACCTCCCAAAATGTATACTGCTCCTATTCCCTCACTCTTTACCTAAAGTTCACGTGTGTTACATGTGCATAGCCTAATGCGCAAGCGCAAGCGCAGTTTTGGTTATAATCATACTTCGTGGTGGGAAAAGCGATGAAGGAGAAAATATACGTTTTGAGTGGATTTGTATACGTTTTGGGAGGTTCTACTGTATAATATATGTGTGTGTGTGTATATATATATTATATAATTATATATTACGTATAATTATATATATATATAATATAATTATATATTAATTATATATATATAATCAGTCGATTTAGTAAAATTTACTTCTTCTTCGAGTCGTACGACATTGCCTTGTGCGTTAGTCAGAGCAGTGTCCAAAATGTCGATATGTGTACGTTGTTCTTGCAAAGTGGCTCTCTGAGCGGACAGCTCGATTTCTTGTCTCTCTTTTGCAGCGGTCAATTCTTTATCTGGAAAAAAATCAAAAGATTAATACATGAATTTGTTCTTGCAAACTTATATACAAATCTCGAAAGAGATTATACTTTGACTGATGAGCTGTCCGATGAGTACTTCGCGTTGCGTCAGCTCTTTGCGCATTGTTTCGATTGGAGGACCATTCGTGCGTGTTGAGAGAAGATCGATCTGCTCCCTGAGCGCGCGATTCAGTTCATTCAGTCGACGACAGTCATTTTGCAGTCTCAATCGAGCGGCGCGCTCCAGCTTCTCTCGTCGCTCGCAAGACGCCGCAAGCTCCTCGTGGGCGCGATGCACTTTTGCGATCTCTTGCTCCAGTTTCTGCGATTTTGAAACTTTTTTGTAGCAACGATCTAACTCCAGTTTCAACGCGCTATTCTCCTGAATTATAATCTGAATCATCTCTGACGACGGCCACACTTCGCCTGTTTCCCTTTCCACCTCTTCTCGTCCTTTCGTCTGAGGTCTGGAAAAAACAAAAGAATCAACCGTGATGGAAATATTACAATAAGACGCGATATATGCGGAAAATATTAAATTATATTATACCGAGGTGACGTTGTTCGAAGATTGTAGTTATCAATGTCCTCTTTGTTGATTCTGGATAGATCGGGTTGCGATCGCGATATTGTTAATTTCTCTGTTGGCGCGAGATATCGCCAGTGCTTGCAGAATTTCAAAGGTGCCAGCGAGGACACGTAAGACGGCGACGATCCGCCTTCGTATTCGTTCTCGTTCTGTTTCTCTCGGTCATTGTCTCTTATTCTCATCTCTCCCAGTCTCATCTCCATATTACTGCCGTTATTGACATACGATGGCACTTTCACCTCTTTTGCAAGATGTTTCAGAACCTATAAAGTGTACATCGTCACATGTAATTAAATAAAAAGGATCACTTATTAAATTAAATACATTAAATTTTCACAAATGTGTGAATAAATACATGTAAAACGAAATTTTAATCTTTAAATTACATATTTCTTTGTTATACCTGAGACTGATTAAGATAATCATCTGGAATATCTGTGATTTCTTGACAGCCACCGCCACAGGATTGCTGGACATAATCTTCATGTGGCAAATTGGACAGAGATTGCATTGTGGGACTATTGGATTGGCCTTTTCCATCACAATACAAGTAGCCCACGTCCCCATGTTCTCTCATCACACCTGACAGTCTAGCAAAAATACAAAGCATTTAGAGCTTAATGTAAAAAATTGATTGACTTTTTTACCTTCCAGAGCTCAGTATCCATGATCCTTCGTCATTAGCATTGTGTATGATCAATGTGTTGTAAGAACTCGTCGACACATCTAGACTACTTCGATTAGAACCTAAGCTAGTGCGATTGCTCAAGTTGTCCTTTAAGCTGTTCCGATTGGAGCCATTGGTACTATCCTTTAGGCTATTTCGATTAGAGCCGTTCAAACTTTCTTTCAAACTATTCCTATTCGATCCATTCAAACTTTCCTTTAGGCTATTTCTGTTATGCAGATTACCCTAATGCAATATAGAATTGTAAAAATGGTTTTTTTTAACTTATTGCATTTTGTTAAAAAAAAATTGCATTGTTTTGTTTAAAAATATTATATACCTGAATATTTGGTATATTTTCCTTATGACTGGAAGATCTAGAAGGACTCTGCTGTTGGTTTTCTTGTCCTTGTGGTTCTTGTCGTGCTGTATGTCTTATGACATATCTTTCTTCGTTACTGAGATTTTCATTAGATGTAGAAACATCAGTCTCACTACCACTTAAACTCTGAGGAAGACCACCTGTAGAGAAGAAAATATTAATTAAATATCTTCTGAACATCCTTGTATTGATGCTATGATAATTACACACATACCTTGCATGGATAATTGTTTTCGTTGAAGATTATTGTTCGAAAATGGTAAGAATCGATTTCCCTGTTGTAGCGAGCTCATTTTGATTGATCTCCGCTCATTTACACAAATTGTCGTATCTAATCTACAGAAAAAAGAAAAAATAAACTGTGCTAAATCCCCCCTTAAAAAAATAGAAAATATAAAAATCAAGAGAAACAGAAAAATATGAAAATATAACATTAAATTAATTGACTTCTGGTTGAACCTCTCTTAAATTCTATAAATTGTCTAGCGAATTTAGGGTGTTCTGTGGCTGGTCCATAAACGGAAAGTTATATAAATAAACAATAGGATACATCTTCGTCGGTATCATTATCGGCATGTATTCGAACTGATGCTTTCGTAAAGCAAAACTGTCGTGATTAGTAAGCAAACAAATCCGAACGACAACACGCGATATCAAAGATCAGAATTTTTTATCCCGTTTGATTTACTCACCTTGTAATGTAAAACTGCAAAACGTCGAATATCTTGTAATCACTTTCGATAAATTGGTACACTTGTCTTTACGAGAGAAAAAAAAGGGCAGCTTGCTGCATTCCTCACTAGACGGCGTCTAAGTAGTGGCCACAGTGGCAGCGTTCTGACACAGGTCTAGTTTCCACCGTACCCTCAATTCGGTTTCATTCCGGTACAGATCAAATTTAATGTTCCGTTTCCATTGGAAGTAGAGTACTTATAAATCAAAGCGGAAGCAAAATCAGCGCAATTTGACGCGTTTCTATAGACTTAAATTTGATTCTACGCCGCATTAGGTGTGAATTACTGCTTCGGTGGAAACTAGACCACAGTATATACAGTAGCGCAACTCTCCCATATATACATATATATAATACTCCTATATTGCTAGTCGCGTATCTTCGCAATGAGAGGCACGAGGCCCGAGAAAGAGAGATGCACGAAGTCCAAATATGGGCATAAATAGTTGAGCGTCATTATGCGCAGGCGCGTCTACTAAGCGAGTGCGAGTGAGACAGAGCATTGGAAAGTGAGAGAAAGAACGCGAGAAAGAAAAATGCGCAAGCGTGCTTGAATGTTCACCGCATGCGCACAAAGCAGCTGGACCTTGCGCGAGAGAGAGGCTACTATATTGTCTGCACCGTAACATTTGGGCTTCAGGTCGGCACCGTACTAGGCTGTGTTCAGTTAAGCAAGATGGAACGAACTAATGGAGGAAATGCAGGAAATACAGGGCTGTGTTCAGTTAAGCAAGATGGAACGAACTAATGCAGGAAATGCAGGAAATACA